TATATATATATATACTTCTCATAAAACGAATCGCTGCTCTTCTGAGTCACGTGCGTGGATTCATGATCGGCAAAAGTTTGTGGAAGCCGCGCGTGTATACATAGACTTAGGTGTATTTTGTATAATGCAATTTTCATGCTCCTGATCCTATTCGGAATTCTATATCTATTCTTATATATAGTCTATCTATAATTGTATATCTATTCTTATATACAGAATAGAATCTATTCTGTATATATTCTTCTTATATACAGAAATCATATGTTGAGACGGATTTATGTAATTTATATTTAATTTATATTATATTTAACACGTCCTGTTAAATTCATATAATGTCGAACATTTGTCGTTCCAATTTGTGTCATTGTTAAAAATGATTTCTCTAGGTCGCCACTACTTCTACTCAGTAATGTCATTAATTTAACTAGCACAATTAATTTAATTCAAGAAAATAAGTAATTAAATTGACTCAAATTTTAGTTTATTATTTACTAAGTGTACACATTAATATGGATATTGTTAATTTTGAACCATTGAAATTAATCACAGAAAAGGATTGATTTACATTTTGATACATAGAAGTAAAAATAACAAAATGTTATTTAATATCTCTCGGAATTCTTTGGAGAGGATTTACTCTAAAGAATTTAGAGAGATAAAAGATTGAATTATTACTATTGCTCTTTCGATATCTAACAGTGTGATCAGTCTATCTAAAAGTTCGAGCATGTAAAGTTAGCACTCTAACTTTAATTCTCAAGAGTTCTGATTAGAATTCCCAAAAGTTCTGATTAGAATTCCTTTCTTTTGACGAAACGAAGGGTTCTCTATAATTTATAACAAGAGTTCAGCTTAACAGTAATTTTTAATTAATTTTTAAAAAATGGGATGCCAACTTAAATTCATGATCGAATTCTAAACGGCTTAATAGCTTTATTTTGTGAATATATAAAGTTTTTGATACATAAAAAAAATGTCAAACTATAAAAAAGATTTTTGAGAAATTAATTTTTAAATACATGGAGACGTTTAGCATGTATTAGAGCAGGCACAATAGCATGTAAGCTCATCATGCAAAAAATTATGCATCGTGTCGGTTTAACTTTACATACTTTGAAAGTTCCATGACTCATTTTTTTACATATTGATTACTATTGTTTTTTATTATTTTTTTTTCTATTACAATGAAATAAGTTACAGAGTATTAAAGAGCCAACTGCAGAACTTATTGTGTAAAATTATTTTATATATCTAAATAATTTTACGCAACAAATTCTACGGTTGGCTCTTTAATACCTTAAATTTATTTCATTGTAATTATTATTATTTAGAGTCCTTTAAAATTATTGTAATAGTATTTTTTCTATTACTAATTTTTTAATTCTTTATATCTTTTGTTAATTTTGAGAAATATTTTAATTAGGGTAACTCCAGTATTTACGCTGCGCGAGGATTCGCAAAAGTCAGAAAAAATAGGAGTGTGATGATTTGCACATAATCTTTGCATTCTGTTATATATTTTTATGTTATAATATTGTGTTATGTTTTCAGTTTCTTAATGTTAATATTAGTAAAATTATTGTCAGTTGAACCGATTTGTCAATGTAATGAGTAGCGCAATCATATATCATAATTCACATAAAATGATTATTGTAGAGATTATTGCAAAAGGCTTAATAGTTATTTAATGATATAAGTGTAAAGGGATAGTAAAAAATGGAGCAAAATACAAATGTTTATGTTCTTTTCTCAGCTTAATGTCTTGTATAATATATTCGTATTCCACCTGTTTAGGATATATGACATTTGTAGAGGGCGAGATTTATGCTCAAAGCATAAAAGCATACAAAGTGCGCAGATTGGATCCAGTACACTAAATGCAATGAATACATTACATGAAATATGTACTTCATAACACTTGTGATATATGCAAAAGATTGCAATTATTATTATCTATTATTCTATATACATATTTATCATTCTTATTTCTTAATAAAACTTTGTAAACATATTTTATAAGTTATTTTATATAAGTATTATTTTACGTCTTATATTTCTGAACATTATTTGTAATTTTTTCATGAATTATGTCCCACCTATAAATAGCCATATCCTACTCTTATGGAATATGCAGTAAAAATGCAAGCGTTTGAAAAAATTCTTTTTTTCAATACAAAAAATAAATATTTCTGATTTCTAATATTTTTTTTCTAATAGTAGTACTAATAGTAGTAAACAATACAAAGTTTTTACTGGTATAGTTCATTTATCTTAAATATTGTAAATAATATTTAATAAATTAAGTTTTTGTTAGGTGCGGCATATGTATATTGGAGTTACCCAAAGTTTTTTTAGACATAATTAAAAAAAATTTTTTGCTATTTCTCTCTTTTTTATTACTAAAATATTTTGATTAATCTGGCTCAATTTTAAGTTTCTGATGTAGATCTATTGTAAGTTTTATTATAGATTTATCGGACTAAAAATTTGTTTCCGTATTTTTGCTTTGTTGAAAAGATTTTATTAACTCGTTTGGAGCACAATTTACTTGGAAAAGAAAGAAAGTAGCTCCTTTTCCAATTGTTATGTCCCATCAGAATTTTTAATTTTACTCCATTTTATCTTTCTCAATTCTCTGTTCACTGTATCTTCATTTTACAGGGCGTATAATTTACGCGGTCGTATCTGCTAAAAATACAACTTCCTTGACATGGGTGCGGCGTTATCTCACCGATTCTCACGTGCGTAAACCGGGTGCTCTGCCGTAATAATGCCACGTGCTAGCAGTGCACCGAAATTAGAACCGTTTGACTATCTAAGCGGAGCTTTCCTCGTTATAAATGTAGACGA